CCTGAAAGGGGGGTAGTAGTCTGGAAAGGTGGAAAGCTGGTCCTGCCATCCCTGCCACTTGTAGCGTGGGGGACCCATGCCTAGAAAACAGCAGTGTTTCTCCATAAGGAATTTTTTACAGCATGAAATTCCAGGATGCCATGCCCCCAGCTGTTCTTTCATTACTGTTTCAACCCAGAACTGGAAGTGAAAGCGTTGGACAGCACTGGGGAAAATCCTCCTGCTGGAAATTCCCAGCCCAAGTTTCCAGAAACAGCAGCCAAACCAAATAAATCCCAAACTCTTCAAAGCTGGCTCCTTCCCTGCCCCATTGAACTGCCCGTCTCAGGACTCAAACAGCCATGCTCACCATACAATACTGGGGCTAGGAGCCAGCTCTGGACCGGACTGCAGAGATTCTCTCTGTAATTGCAATGGATTGGCCTCTGTTCATTTTCCTTGGACCAGCGTGGTAGCTTAAAAAGAACGCTGATATCGGCTCCGATCCTGGAAGCAGCTTGGCACCTGTAACGCCTCCTCCAATGCCATACATAAGAACATCCAGACTGGGTCAGACCAACAGTCCAATCCAGCCCAGTATCCCGTCTGTCGACAGTGGCCAATGCCAGGTGCCCCAGAGGGAGTGAACCCAACAGGGAATCATCACGAGAATCATTCCCAGCCCCTGATCAACAGAGGCAAGGGACACCATCCCTACCCATTGATGGACAAACATGCACAAACACCCAGGTCAACAGGAGTCATGATTACTCTGTAGGCATCAGGATGAGGCCCATTATTATTAGGCATTTCCTAACAGGATTTACTCTGACACACTCTGGTCATCATCACCTATTCAACAGACATAATCACTTCAGTCACTTGCAGGGAAAGCTAATTTTAGACACTTAACTCAGCTCTGGGATATAGCTACATGACAGGGCTTGCCAAGTGCCTCAGAAATAGGCAAGATTTTTTACATCCCAATTAAGAGAAGCTGCATGAGAGAGAAAGCAAAGTTCTAGCAAACAGGTAAATAGTTTCCTGCAAAGGCATCAGGTTTAGTGATCGATCAGAAGCCTTCATTCTCATTCAGAGAGGTTGGTTATTTTTTTAATCCAGCTAAAATTAGACTGAGATGATACTTCATGTGTGTCCCCAAATGAAGTTTTCCTTTCAGCGCCTCCTGAACTATACACAGAACCTCTTGCTGTTTTCAGCACAAACTTTTGCCAGCCCAGTTTCCAGGAGACAATTGTACATCTCTAAGCTCTTCCAGTCAACAGATTATTCAGTCATACTTGCATCCCCAGGATCAGATTCTGCTCTCAGTGATTCTGGTTTAAGCTGGGGGCAATTTTATGTACTTCAGCTGAGTCATGTCCAAGCAACACTGGTGTAGCTGAATGCTAAGTTGGCCCATTAGAATCAGGGCCTTTCTTCAAGATATTCAGAGTAGTCAGAACTTGCTAGGATTGGAACTGTTAAGCAGCCAAATATCTCCCTTTGCTTTTCTAATCAAAGCAATTTTGAAGTTGCACAGAACTAAGCCAGTGTGTCCAATCAACAGAAACTAGGATTTAAAATAGTGACAACTTTCAACCGGCTTCCTTGTCTGCCACAGGAGGAGCTAGGGCTTCTACATCACTGCTGGTCACTCTCTTGGTCTTCACTTTTTCGGCTGCTGCGGAGTCTCATGCAATTACAACGTTTTATTCTTACCTATGTTCTTGTTACACTCCTGTTTAATGCCACTTTGTATTGCAGCACTCAACTTACACGGCATAAGTCTTCAAAGCACTTTGCAAACGTTGAATTAAGCCTCACAGTACACCTATAGGATAAGTGTTCTTAGTATGATCTGCAAGTTTCTAAAAGCATGCAAGGTACTTCCCACAGAAGTAAGGCATGGTCCTCGACTATCCCGAAGAAGGGAAAAATGAAGCACAAAGAGAAGCTGCAGCAACGCGCACAAGGTAACATAGCGAGTCTATGAGCGAGGGAGGAAGAAAATAAAGGATTCCTGAAAACAAGCCCTCAGCTCTAATCACCAGACACATTTCTTCTGAACTGCAAGAAAAGAACCCCGCTGCCCCGAGGAGAGGTTTTAACCTCACCATCAAACCACCAGGGAAGGAGATGCAATAAAGATTAGCCACACGTTTTAAAATAATAAAGAAAAACATTTAAAATATTCAGTAGGCTTTTGTACACGCAAACTTTCTGAAACTTGGTTCCTGAGTTGAGAACTGTCGGTGGTGAAGGAGATTTGGAGCAATTTCTCTGGCCCCCCCTCTCTGACTTGTACTAAACCAACAGCTCTTACGCCGCGACCCAAAGCTGGCAAGCTAGATGCTACCAGCTTCCCACTGTCAGAATTGTGAATGGGAGAGGACATGTCCCTGTCACTATTAAAAAGCAATGCTGCCATCTCACACGATTTTATAATGAGTCTTGCAATACCTGAAGTTTTCCTTAAATCCCCAGATCCAGGTGTTGCGTGATAACATGAAAGAAGAGAGTCTCAGTTGCAAATAGCTAGCCTTCATAGTCATGGAGGAAAGCTTGTAAGAGACACTTGGGTGCACGCTCAGAAATAAGACAGTAAATGAAAAGAGCAAATTAATTGTAAATCTCATGATTTTTAAGCCAATTGGGGTTGGGTTTTTTTTAGGTCTTACATTTTTCAAAGTGTGAGGTTGACAAGTCAGTTTCAGAGGGGGTAGCCCTGTTAGTCTGTTTCAGCCAAGAAAACAGAAGTCGTGACACACCTTAAAGACTAACAAATGTTCACTACATCAGAGGCATGAAGCATAAGCTTCAGTCTGACAGGGATTTAGGCACACAAGGAGGGGAGTGTTACATCAGTGCTCATGAGGCTAATTCAAGTCAGGGAGATGTCGACCACTTCCAACAGTTGATACAATGGTGAGAATACGTCAAGGGGGGAATGAATTACTGCAATGAGCTAGCCGGTCCTAGCCTCTATTCAGACCCATTCTGATGGCTTCAAGTTTGCATAGAAATGCCAGCCCAGCAATTTCATGCTACAGTCTGTTTCTGAAGGGTTTTTGCTCTAGGATGACAACTTTTAAGTCTGTTACAGCGTGTCCAGGCAGACTCAAGAGCTCTCCTACGGGTTTTTGTATGTTACCATTCTTGACGTCTGATTTGTGTCCATGTATTCTTTTGCCTAGAGACAGTTTGGCCTGGCCAACGTACATGTCAGAGGGGCATTGCCTGTACAAGATGGCACAGATCACATTCGCAGATGTGCAGGTTAATGAGCCTAACCGTATGGCTGATTATTGTTAATGCAGAAGATACATTCCATGCTATGAAAAAAGTTGGAGACCCCCTGGGCTAAGCCATCCTTTCCCAGGTCGCTTTATTCCCAGTTCAAAAAAGGTAGCAGGGATCAGGAGTTATTGGCCACTGAAATATACCAGATTGCAACTAACAGCGTTCCCGGGGAGAGCCTAAGGGCTTTATCCTCCCATTTGCCCACAGGCAAACACAGCTAGGGATCTAATGTGTTAACATTTCAGCCTGAGGTTTACCAAAACAGCCCCACCAACACTTGACAGTCAGCAAGTAACATTCTTTGAGAATTACCGTTTTTAACGCCAACGCCATTTCCCCTGGAACCCAGCTGCTGGATGTACCTGCCTCACTGTCCTTGGTGATACAATTCCGCACTCAACTGATATTATTACAATCTATGGCCCCTTCTCAAATTCAGAGGCGAAAAGGCACAAGAAAAATAACTGCTGAATAATTCTTGTCCTGCTGTGCAAGAGAATCAGCCAGTTCCCATTTCATGCACTTGGCAGCCTAACACGCTCTCTGTGAAGGTCAGAGGATAGTCACGAAGATAAATATATGCACCACATATCCTGATATTTTAGCAGGAGACTTACGGCGGTGAATACAGCAGCTCCACAAAGAAGCACTTCAGATAGAGCTTAACAATGTGGAGAGGCAAACCCCGACCACAAATCATCTACATTCCTTAAAGTGAGAGTCATTTTCACTCCCTTTCAAAGTCTGCCTTCCCAGCAATTTCATTATTAACTCCACAACCGCCACACACGTGAGAAACGATTTGATTCTGAAACTGCTCTGCCACTTATCTTTCAAATCTAAGACAACCGAAGGCTCGCTCCCGCATCCTGAACTCAAACAGAACACCTTGACCTCAACAAGCAATTTACTCGAGTAGACTGCAGCCTACGACCCTTTAAACCTGATGAAAGGGAACCTGAGTTCACATGAGTTCCCACTGAAGATGTAATCTGAAAAGTTGCCACAGAGCATAAAAAGTAACCTCGTTCTGTTTTGCAACTACTATTAATTTGAGTATTCAGTAGAGTCATCCTTCAAAGCAACCTTTCTGGACACCCCGATTCTGATTAACCACCACTGTATCAACTGCTGATACGTTTTTGTCTAAAGATTCGTCTCCAATCTGAAGATTTTACAGTAACTCTGAGACAATCAGCCGAAATTTTTAAGGGAATAAAATCATGCCTTGCTTCAGAACAAGAACACCTCCAAAATAAGAACTAACTGTTGTGAAAACACTTTAGAAATGTATAAATTATTCCATCTTGCAATCCCAATATTTGAAACCAGCTTCTTAGCAAATGCAAAGGGCCACGTTTAGTTACATTTCTTCCTTTGCAAAGAAAGCTTGACTTTGTAACAGCTCACAACAATGATACTGCAGTATTTGGGGACAATCTGGTCGGAAAACATCATATTTTTAAGTAGCTGAGACTAAACAGAAGAATTCTTCTAATATCCTCAGTATCTACATAGGTAAGAACACAGGTCCAAAGGGGAGTTTACCCTTGGTATCTGGTGTGTTAGAGTAGAACCACTTCAGTTTGTCATCCATTTCTTACATGCACACAGCATTTGACTATTGCACAAATCCCATGTTTAATTAGTAGTTGCCATCTGATAGATCTTGGCAATTAACCAGTATGCCCAGCCCACAAACTTGCAAGAGCACCTACCTTTAACCAGTAAGACCTCCCTGCTGGGCCTCCGGAAGAAGTGGTGACCCTCGGACCAAGATTGTGACTTGGGAAAATGCCTGAATATCTTGCGTATTCTCTTTGTTACAACCCCAAAGCAAGCGGCTGCCTCTGCTTTCCCTTGTGTCATCCTGGTAACAGAAGATCAATAGCTTCTTCGGGCTCCAGCAACGGAGGCAGGCTGGAGAAGAGAGCGGGCAGTGCTCAGATGCACAATTATCGGAAGAAGCAGTGTTTGCCTTTGCAAGTTATGTACATTTCCAGCTAAAGCCTCTTTCTCTTCCCCCATGCAGACAGAACATCAATAGTATTCATTTATAATCTACTGCCTCTTTGGGCTCCCTTTTTCCTGGGGAATGCACATAGCACAGTGCTCTCTCTCTCAGGGCTGGTTCTCTTACCCATGGAAAACTTTCTATTTCTGGGCCTTTTTGTGTGATAAGATAAAACCACCTAATGGAAGAGATTACAGCAGAGTGAGCGAGAGAGGGCAGGACGCATCCTTTCATTGGGAACTCTTTTTCCAATATCCACTTATTCACTCAATGGACAGCTTTCTGCCGTTTTTAGAGTTAAAAAGGCAAAGCCTCAAAAGTTTAATCGCAGCTGTAAATAAAGGACCAACAGGTAAAAAAAAAAAAAATCAGCTTCAATTTAAACACTAGGATATGGACTTTAAACTTTACAGCGACGCACATATCCAGAAAAGGAAAAGAATTTACTTTTTTTCTAGTTGCCGTTACGACTAGAAATGTGACATCCCTGGCACTATGTGCCAAGAAAAGGAAACAGTTTAATAGCACACTTTAAATATCAAGCCCTTCACAACCTCTACTCATTGTAATCTATATCCTAGTGTATGGATATTATCCTGCATTAATACACTCGTGCAATGTTGGAACCTCACAAATGTCAATTATTTTTTGCAATACTCCCGTAAGACATTCTTGCCATTTTACAGATGGGTAAATAGAGACAGATGGAGTGACTCATCATGTGTCACACAGTAAGCTGGAGAAAGGCCTGGGAATAGAACCAAAAGTCCTGACTCCTAGCCAGCTATTAGGATTCTCCCCCCGTGAATGCACAAACCCCTGACCCCAAAACTAAGACTCCCATCCTGTATCGTAGCCAATGGATACCAAGTCAACCTCAGGAACATTTTCAAGACTAACAGACCCAATTTGACCTGCTTGGTCAGACAAAAACAAACTACCATACAAAACAAGAGCTCCAATCCCTATAGGTCACCTAACCGAATTTTATCACCCCTTGTCCCTGGGCATTACACTGGATTGTAATGACAGCAGGAGCAGCAAGATAACATGGTCCTGTGGATGGGACAATGGACCTGGAAACAGGGGACCAAGATTTTAATCCCATCTCTGCTCCTGATCTGCTGAGACACCTTGGGCAAGTCACTCAATCTGCCTGTATCTCCGCTCCCTGCTTGCAAATACACTGCCCACTGCTGGAGACGGGTCTTATGTTTATGTATTTAAAGCATGTTTAACAGCTTTGCACTAGCAGCAGCACCATCTCCCCCCCAACCTAGGTCTGTAACCTTGTGAACATGCAGTCGAGTCAAGCGACACCTCCGTAGCCGCCCAGAGGATTGAGTGTGCATGAAGTCTCACTATCCTGCTCGGACTAGCCAGAGACAGTCGCAGCAAGTGGCTTCAAAAATTCTCTTTTCCTTCAAGTGCCAAACTGAAATGGGCTGAAGTGGGGGCAGAGGGAGAAGAGTGCAGGCTAAGGTTGTAAAAATGTTAGAAAATATAACTGCTAAAAACCACAGCGGTTACACGCGCTGTAGGCTCTGCAATCAAGCTTAAATAAGTTTCATACTGCAGAGCTTGCAGCCAAGCCTCTTCTCTGAAAGCAGGACCAGTAGGGGCTACCGGCATGCTCCTGGGTGTAATCTGGGAGAGGGGCAGGCCTACCACAGTCAGCTGCTTCTCCAGCAGGGTGCTGCTCAATCCCCTACAGCAGTGTTCCCCAAATGGTGTTCCGCGAAGTCCCAGGGTTCCGTGAAGTGAAAGTAAGGGTTCCGCGAGAAAATTCCATTACAGTTACATTTTATGATTAAAAATGCCTATTTAAGCATTTATGAATTGCACTGAAAACAATTTTCATGTGTATTTGCCACGATAAGTGTCCCTGTGTAATGCCAGCTTAGCCAAAGAGTGGGATGATGATGTCACTACTCAGCGCTGATGTCCATAGATTAGACTATTAGGGGTTCCGCAAAATTCTTTCGTGTTGAAAAGGGTTCCGTGGCTTAATATAATTGGGAAACACCGCCCTACAGTTTAACTAGAACTAGTAAGTTTCACCCATTAAGAGTGAGGTTTACCAGTTCACCAGTTACATCTCTTTGTCCCAGACAAAGACAAAAGGAGACAGTGACTTATTTTAATCTCCTGAAGAGAGAACATAAGAACGGCCGTACTGGGTCAGAGCAAAGGTCCATCTAGCCCAGCGTCCTGTCTGCCGACAGCCCCGGAGGGCATTAACAGAGCAGGGAATCATCAAGTGATCCCTCTCCTGCTGCCCATTCCCAGCTTCTGAAACAGAGGCTAGGGACCCCATTCCTGCCCATCCTGTCTAACAGCCTGTGACGTAGTAGGGGTGCTGTCTGCTCTGTAACCCGGGGTCCCCTGCGCTGTGATGGGAGATTCTCACTGACTCTCCCAGATGTGTATTAACCCAGACACTTAGGCTCAGCATCCCAGGGAGAGAGACAAAGGAAGGAAGGCAGAGACCAACACCTGGCTGGTTGGCAGGGCGGGAGGCAGTGGCTGTCTGGGAAGCACAGTGAGAAGAGGCTAAGCTGGGGCCTAGGGGCGATGGACCCCTAACCCTAGAGTCTGAGGCATCCTGGCTCTGGGCCCTGTAGCCACATCACATACGTGCTGTGCTGTATCCTGAAGGAACAATAAACCCCTCTCTATTCTATGACTGGCAGAGTCTGTTCTTGCTGCTACAGGGCTGCAGGATTTGGGGGAACCCCAACTCGCCGTCACACAGCCATTGATGGACCTAACCGCCATGAATCTATCTAGCTGTTTTTAGTGAAACATTAAATCATGTCAACAAGTACAATTCTGGAATCAGTCTGACAAGGATGCTAGCACCGGGTGAAGGAATGCACTGCCTTCCACAAAGTAGCACTGCTGGAAATATGCAGCAGTGCATGAACAGTGGGGCAAGATGGAAGGGTGTTGCATAACTTCCTCGTTAAGGAAACAGGCCCGTGATTCAACACAGCACTTACACGTGAGTGCCACAGCCCGACGAGCAAGAGCGGATTGCAGTGGGTGCCGAAGGACAGGCCCATGCTTAGCTTAATTTAAGTTAAGGGCCAAAGCCTGCCCTCAATGCACATGAGCAACTACCACTGGGCTCAATGAGTAATGCTTATCTGAATCCAAGGGAAGAGCCTGGCTCCAGTGCATTTCAAGGGCCTCCTCTACACTGTGTCACATGCCCAGCCTTGCTTGCACTCATGCACAGAGTGACAAGGCAGATTTGCTCATAGAGAAGCATCTTGTCCGAAAGGTTCCCTGCCTTTGTAAAGTTATGGCTGGTGCAGCTGACTGCACACTCGCTGAAGGCATCCGATTCCCACCCCCAGAGTTGGCCAGGAGAGGCGGTCGACATGCCCCGCACACTCCCGTGAAACAATCGTCGTTTTGTGGTCACTCCAAAATGCAAGGGCTGCAACATTCACTAGGATTCATGGGGGAGGAAAGCAAGCCTCAAAGGGCTCACAGCAGAGGCAAGCTGGTGGCTGGGAGGGGGAACTGATTTGACTGCTGAGAAGAAACGAGGCAAATCGAGTAACACAAAATTCTAACGGTGGCGACAGGAAACACGCATCTTGTCCCCGGATGGTAATGCCAAAATTGTGGTGGTGGGGAGGGGGTGTAGATACACTGTGCCTCTAGCCCCCCCGTCTCCCCAGCAACCATATTCTTTAGGTGGACGTAGTTCTCAAAATCAGTGCAAACACTCCTGAAACCTTCCTTGGCTAAAATTAAATATATGTAACTAGTGACCTCCGGTGCCTTAATCTCTCCTGGTGGGAGGTTTCACAATCAACACAGCCAACTCTTAGGTCAATTAATCTAATTTTGGTGAGTGGTCAGAGTGATGACCCCACTACATGTGAAACCATGACATTTAAGACACGCCCTCCCCCCTTTCGCTCCATAATTCATGGCCCACAAGCAGCAAGTGCACTGTATTTCAACATGGCTGCTTCAAGTGGGTACTTGGACAGCCACAATCCTACAACACGAAACAGGGGACTGCTGTTAGAAAGGCCCAAGTTGACACGTGGGAATAAAAGAACCAAATATCAAGATTCTAACTCAACAGAACTTGGAAATTAAATCGCTCTACTCGCTCCTTTACCAAAAGGTGCACCACACCAAGTATCTTCAGGCACATCTACCATAGTGCTCCAACAACTCAGATCTGAAGGTCTTTTAGTTATTAATTGCGGTGCCCTGCTGTACAGGTCTTGCACTACAAATGAAGTCATTTCAGGCCATCACGTGCTTGGTCAATCTTCCCCACCGCAACTTACTGTTCTATATTTGCTGCTGACCTCACTAACTCTGAGAGTTGTTTCTGAGCTCACGATCACCACCCCCATTTTCTCCAGTCTCTCCCCAAGACTGATCAGAAGCACAGCTAACAGCAGCAGTTCAGCCTGCTGCCTCTGACCTTCTTGATAAAAACCTGATAGGTTCTGAACAGAATGTGTTAGCATTTTCTTTAAATAACTGTCTTCTGTCCTATCAGAGAAGATACCTCACCAATCCAGCCACACTCTTAAGCCAAGTCTACACTAATGGATAAGGTCGAATTAAGATATGCAACTCCAGCTAAGTTAATTACACAGTTGGTGTCGATGTACCTTGATTTGAGTTTCACTGCCATCCCCACAACGGGTTCCCATCAGCTTCTCTTACTCCTTGCAGGAGCACTGGCCGCAGAAGGACCCTCTGAATTCAATTTAGCAGGTCTTAACTGGACCCGCTAAACAGCCTCGATTTTCCCTAGAGTGAAGCCCTGGCCTTAGAAAGCATTGCAAGATGCATCTCCTCCACTCCCCACAAATTAATTCCCAGGCGCCAAACAACCTGGTAGAAAGCAGGAGAGCCTGGTAGTTGGTTTCTCCTTTTGAGACTTGAATGTCTCAACTTAAACCATGTAAGAAGCCACACAACAAGGTCCTGGTTACCAAAGAAATAATTAAAAACAACCACCAACTAGGTTTCATTTTTTTACAAGCACAGTGTACAATAGCATAGTCTTATCCTGCATGCCTGATTTGCTGCAACAATACTGCTTAAAGACTGAAGCCTAAATGTTTCTTTCTTAATTCTAACAGGATGACAAATAAAGGCCTTATGTGCCTTTGATCCATATGCAGAACTACCATCCATTGATTTGTTGACATGCATGGGACAGCATGTGAAGACCCAGTAGTCCGACCGACGGTACAAACGAACAAGGCCGCTCAGATGACTCTCTCCAGGCATCTGTTCAAGTCAAGTCATGTCCCAGGAGAAGCTAGGCACAAGACTCTTGGATATGACCCACTGAACGACCCACTTTTCCGCTGCACACTCAAAATTTCCCAAAGCCACCCACATGGAGTAATCATGAAGGGCTGGATCCAAGCACTGTTGGAAAGACTTCCATTGACTAGAAGGAGATTTGTTTCAGGCCCTAAGACCACAGATGCTATTAAGGTTTGAGACAAGTCCAACTGAAGTCATGGAGACTATTAACGTCAGTGGTGTTTGGATCCAGTCTTTTGAGAGAGACAGACAGAGATAGACAGACGGACAGACATTCTGAACCTACCAGCTGCCATAAGCAAGACAGTCTCCACGAAATTAAAGGTTTTTACTCCGAAATTAGCACCCAACTTTTCCTTTTAGAAGGGAACAAAAAGAATCCACCCAAACTAGTTCTTGGAAAGGGTTTATTTATTGCCATCAGTTTAGAAAGGGGAAATAAAAAAAAATAGGGGATTTCAACATGTTTTTGGTTCACACAAAAAGAAAAAAATTCCAGTCAAAACCCCATCATTGTTCAGCAACTCACTGCTGTCATCTACTACCCTTTTTTTAAAAAAATAGCAGAACAATTCGCGCACACTCTAAAAAAACAAGTTAGG